GATGTCGTCTCTTTCGGAGGTGCCTAAGGCAGAGGACGGATGAAATATTTAACAGGCTAGATATTCTGGGGAAGGAAATTAAGCTGAAAATAAAAAGTGCCAAGGGTCACTTTTTTCCTCCCTAGGTGAAAAGCTTAGGCGTATTCCAAAGGAGATGTGGAAGTTTGTAAAATCTAATGGAAAAGAAGATAGTGCTAACCCTACTATCTTAGCTGAACAAGGTTTTGTCATTAATGATGTCGACAAAGCGAACTGTTTTAATGATTACTTTCAGTCAGTTTTCGCAGTTACTACAAGAAACATACTTTTTGAACCAGCCTCTTGTAATTTTGGGGCTATGTCAGATATCACTGTATTGTATGATGGAGTTGTCAAACTTCTTTCTGAACTAAAAAAGAAGTCTTCCACTGTTCCAGATTATATGCCTTGTTCTGTTTTGAAATCTTGTGCACCTATTATTGCCAAGTTTCTGGTTCTCTTGTTTAATTTATCTCTGTCGTCAAAGACACTGCCTCAGGAATGAAAATTCACGAATGTTGTTCGTGTGCATAAGAGTGGTCTTCGTTCTTTGGTTTCCGACTATAGACCCATTTCACTAACCAGCGTGTGTTGCGAGACTCTTGAGCATATAATTTACTCTATCATATTTCATCACTTGCAAGAAAAATTTTTTTGTCCAGTTTCAGCACAGATTTAGGGTAGTCTTTTCTTACGTCACTCACTTAGTCAAATTTTCGTATGATGTGTTTCCTTCTTTTGATTCTGGGAAGCAGGTTGATTGTATAATGTTAGAGTTTAGTAAGGCTTTTGATACTGTGCCACACTCTTTATTGCTTTTAAAACTTTCATCTCTAAGTTTACCTGTTTCTGCCCTTGGTTGGATAGCAGACTATCTTACCGGTCGCTTCCAAAAAGTAGTCATTAATAGCTCAGAGTCTTACTTTGTTTCGGTAACGTCGGGTGCTCCCCAAGGATCCGTGTTTGGTCCGCTACTGTTATTAAACTATTTAAATGATATCGGCTACGGAGCTGCCTCCAAAATAAGATTATATTCAGATGATTGTGTGTTATACCCGGATATAAATAACCGGGACGATGCTGCCGTTTTACAAACTGATCTTGATCAAATACTCACATGGTGCAACAAATGAAAAATGAAACTGAATTTAGCGAAGTGTAATTGTATCTGCTTTAGCAGAAAGCGTCTAAACATACAGACTAATTACTATCTAGGTGCAAATCAGATTATACCTTGGCGAAGGATGTGAAGTTTTGGTGTTATTTTTTCATCTAACCTAACGTGGACTAGTCATGTTAAATTATAACAATGAAAGTTGGACGTGTACTTAACTTTATAAAGAGAAATTTTAAATACGCACCTCGTGGCGTCAAAGAAATACTATACATTTCTAACGTACGTTTCCTCTTATAATATGCTGCTGTAGTATGGAATTCTAACACTAAAACCTTAATTAATAAACTTGAGGCCAGGGATGGGCAGTATTTCAAACACAAGTATTTTAAATACGCATTTCAAATACTTTGTGTATTTTGCATTTGTATATAATTACAAATTGGGTAATGTATTTGACGTGTGTATTTAAATACTAAAACGTAGGTATTGAAATACAATTGTAATTAAATACAATTTTGTGGGCGAAAATACATCCCTCAAGTTTATTGTCACTGGCAGAGCAGGATGAAAACTACGTTCTGCACCGAATGCAGTGTCTTTCAATCAAGCACAAGCGTTTAGTGACTTTGTGATTACGGTGCTAGTCCAGGGCAAGAATAGTGACGAAATCGACGTTCACAGGCAGACTGGCTAAATAGGTGCCTGTGACAACTTGTGATGCTTTCCAGCCTGATTTCCATCCACATCCGAGTGGCAACAATAACGCGTCTTGGTCGTCTCGGTTCTTTGTTGGTCTATACCAAAATGTAATCGACAAAAAAAGCTGCTTGGAGCTCTTTACTTTTTTCACCTATTACGTTCATGCTGATTACCTTTTTGCCTGATTATATTCCTACTGCGTTACTAGAGCCTTGCACAGTAACTGCCGAGTGTGCGATGCAAAAACAAAACGAGATACCCAGAAACCCGTTGCAGGTGCCCTGAAGTCGCTGACGCAAATTTTGAGGAATGTATTTGGAAAAGTATTTGGAGGAGACCAAATACATTTGGTTGTATTTGTATCTCGTACTTAAATGCTTTTTTGGAAATCCAATTAGATTTGCAATTAAATACATTTTTGACGAAGTATTCTGTGTTTTTATTTCGATACATATTTGCATGTATTTTACCCATCCCTGGTTGAGGCTATCCAAAATCGCTCTGTTCGTTTTGTCACTGACTCTTATCATTTTGATATGAGTGTCACGGCATTAAAAAAATCAGTGTCATGGGAGTCGCTAGAATTTCGCCAGAGGTTACCAAGGTACTCTTTTTTTTAGTAAAGTGATTCGTGAACGTACTGTTATCGATAAATACATCTGCCCAAAACCCCCTACTTTTCCTTCCCAGAGATTAGACCACTCGAAGAAAGTACGGGAAATAGCATGCCGCACATCTGTTTTTCAATCGTCAGTTTTCCCACGAACAATAAATCAGTAGAATAGACACCCCGAAACTGTGGTTTCGGCTGCGGATTAAACAATTAAATAAATAAATAAATTGATTGACTTTTAAGTCGTTACTTACACGAGAATGATCCATGACTAATATATTATTTCCACACTTTTGAAATATATTTTCGAAGCACTTCCTCTGTACATTTAAAGTGTTAAAATATGCTTCCCTAAATATGACTAAGAACGTAGATTAAATACCCCAAAATATGTACTCTTATTTTGAATGCAATTAATATACACTAATAGCGCATATACTTCAAGCATCCTCCCGAAATATATTCCGAACAAGAAGGGGCTTATATTATTGTATTTCTGGGCTATTTCAATCATTCTCACTTGCTTATAGTGCACTGCAAATATACTAAGTATATTTTTAATATGGTGTATTTCGCTAAGGGGAGTCCGAGTGCACGATACGTAGAGGCTCCGCACGCTTGAAATATATTTTTGAGGCACTTCCTATGTACATTTAAAGTGTTCGATATATGCATTCCTAAATAATACTAACAACAACGTTTAATAACTTTAAAAGTATGTACTACTATCTTGGGTGCAATTAATATACACTAATAGCGCATATGCTTCAAGCATCCTCCCAATATATATTCCGAATAAGAGGGGTCTCATATTATTATTATTCTTTCGGCGCATTTCGATCACTCTCACTTGCTTATAGTGCACTAAAAATGCAGTATAAGCAAGTGCACTGTTTTTCGGTAAGAGGGGTGAGAAAGACCAGGTATTTAACTCCTTGGCAGTTATTTTGTTTGTTGACTACAATCACGTACGCAATATTTTCCGGTGACAGAGAGAGACCGGCTCCTTCCATAAAGTCCTCGATCACGTGGAAGCATGTTGGGAGTGTGTCTTCATGCTGGCGGATCGAGTTCTCTTTTGGACCAGATATGTTTTTGTTGTGCCTGGTAGGTTGTTTTTATTATTTTGTTACACAAATCCAAGCGCAAAGCTGCTCAAGAAAAAAAAAGACTGAACCTAAGATTCAGGTCTTTTTTTCTTGAAACACCTTAATTTCATGTCTTTTAAAACCTCTTTTTTTTAAATGTCCTGACCTGCCTAGACTTTATCAAGTCTAAAGAACAGCAAAACCAGCTTCAAATCCTCGTTCTAAAAGGGAAGCTACGATCAATAAAACCCAATCCCTAAAATGCTTACGTCCGTCCTATTTGAAAGAGCTTAGATGTTCAATTTATAATCCGTCTACAGCGTTATACAGTATATTAAAAATAGTTCCGTAGAATGTCGGTAAAACAAGATTCCCAATATAACGTACCTTCGTAAGAACAGTGCCTCAGAGTTGAAAAACAGAATCTACAGTAATGAATTGGAGCTGTAGGCTTCCCGAGCAGACATTTTAAAAAGTCGGATGAAAATGACTTAATGGGAACACAAACACACACTAAAAAAGAAACCTCTTATACAAGTTTCCAAAGATGGCTTTCAATTGGCTGGAACGCTTAAGAACACACAAAAATTCCCGTGAGATTAGAGTATAAACCATTTCCTATAACAAATATAACAACCTAAACTTCTTAAGATCTCTTCAGCTAAAGTAAAAGTGAGTTCCGAGCCCTTTATTTACTTTTAAAAAATATTGTCTTTATACTGGAGCCACTGTTTCGAAGCGAAGTAAAAAACAAAAGTAGTCAAGTGTTTTTCTCAAATTTGTTTTTAGACTATTTTGTCAGGATCGGCAAAGAGCGTCAGTATCTTGAAGTTCTAACAAAATTTGAAGATTTTGTCAAACGTTTTTTTTTATTCCGAATGCCGATTATTATGGTGGTGTCCTAAAGATGATAATTTTGTAAAGTTACGTCGCCTGGGGGCTGACGTTTCTTTGTAAAAACATTTCGCCGTGTCATGAGTATTGCTACTCTTACCTCAATAGTTCAATAGTTCAATAGTTCTTTATTGCACTCGAGGGAGTTCACACCAGGCGTGCAGGCGACAAGGAAAGGCAGGGAGCCCATGCACAGTGTGTGCCCTTCCCACCCACCTGGAGGCGAATGGTAGATACAGTATATACAACATATACATACACATATATACACATACATACACACACATATACATGTATATATATTAAAAGGGGAAGGGAGGGTTGCACAGATTTAGAGGGAAAATCCGCCAGACAAGAACGCCCAGCACCGACAGCTCCCCGCCAACGAATATCGGCCAGCACAAGCGCAGACCGGACACGAGTGCCGCATCATCACGCCGGGTGGACACGAGCCCCAGCCTAACACCGACACAACACCCACATCCGATCAGCAGCCCACGCCAACCAACACCCAACAACGAGAAAAAAAAAACTATCAGCACTAAAGCGCTCCCAGCCAACGGGAGAGAGGTCACAGGTGCCAGCCATCTTGCCGGGATATCAATTGACAAAGTTCTTTTATAGAGTCCCTGTCCTTAGGAATCACTGCGGTCAGCTCCGGGGGTAGGGCCAACCAGAGTTCAGCGGCTCGTAGGAGACATGTTCTCCTGTGGCGGAGAGTGCGCGCCAGCACCGGCTGCAGACGACCGCTACGCCTGTTGAGACGTGGTATGTTGGGGCAGTCCATGTCGTCCGCACTCATTCCACGACAAAACAGCCGGATGGAGGCAACGTCTCTTCGATGTTGTAGCGACCGCCAGTTAGCGTTGCGGAGGAGAGAGTCGGTGCTAACATCACGGTAACTGAGGAGGCTACTTCTGGGGGTACTGCGGCGGTAGAACGTAAAAGCAGCCCTTCTTTGAATGCTTGCTAGGGCATTTTGACGTGACTGCTGCAGTGGGCCCCAGATGGCCCAGCAAAACTCCAGCTGGGGCAAGACGAGGGCAGTGTAGAGGTTTCTGAATGCCTCTGGTGGAAGGTCGCGAGAGAGATGGGTAACGAAGCCCAGTGTCCGCCTGTAGTGCTCTGTTAGAGACAACTAGATTTGCCTTCAGTTTCTACTTATCAGGAAAGTTTTGTGCAGGATTGAATGGCAATAACAAAATATATTGGCAATTAAAAGTGGCTTATTTGGGTGAGTGTTCAATTGAAGAAAACGCTTCGTTGACCTGCCGGCTCGGTACCTGCCGTAAACCGCACTGCACACAAACAATAACATTCAGCGAGTTAAAAAAAAAGTTATCTAACTGAAAATAAAATAAACATAAACTACGCATTGCCGAACCTTCAGGTTCCGTTCAAACGCAGTGCTAGCGGTTCCCATATGCAACTGATTAAAAAGTTAGTTACATGATTCACTCTTCCAAAATTTTAGATATTGGGAAATTACTTATAACAGACAGACATTAAAGCCTGCCAATAGACCAAATAGATGAACAAAAATTGGCGTCTACTGTTAAATAAACAAAAACCTTTTATTTTTTGTTCAGAATGTCCGAAACTGACTTATAAGTTACAAATTAAATACAGGTAAATGCCGAATTTTTAGCTAAGACGACGGTCAGTGAAGTGATGCATACTATCCCTGCTTCAAGGGCGTTTCGTAGTCTTTGAGCGGAAAACATTGATAAAATCGGCAAATTGGCTCGTAATTTTAAGTCTTCCCATGCACCCCCCAAGTTATTAAAAATCTACGTCATTTATTGTTTCTTTGGTATTTAGGGCAATTCAAAAATGCTTAGTGCTTGACAACTCAATGTCAGTAGAGAGGTGAATATATTTTTTTTAAATTTTACTCCGCCCTGTAGCTTTGAAAGGGTAACTGCAAAGAAAAACAAGTGCTTTTTTTAAACAACGTGATTGGGATAAGCATGTCACAAAACAAATGTTCTGTGAAAAAAATATTTTTTTAGGAATATTTACGACACAGGACGTAATTTAGTCGGAGTCAGAACATCTCCACATTTGAAACTCCCGCTCTTTCGACCGCCGCGGAGCAGAACTACGCCACGATCCTCACTCTTGCATTTGCTATTTTTTGTTGACTTCGCTGCTGAGTTGAACGACGCAGCGTCTCGACTTCCGGTAAGATCTGGCAACAACGCACGCTAAACATGGCGCCGGTATTGTTTTGGTTTGACGGTGTACGAGAAGCTGCGGGGTTTGCGAGCACACAGCAAAGACGTGACCGGAGAAGTGCCCCTGTGATGTTGCCAGAAGACGCAAAGTATCATTCGTAGTCGTCATGGCGGCTTTGAAAGCGAAGAGAGTCACAGGGTCCACGAGTGTGCAACCACAAGCCAACGTTCACGACAGAGCTGCGTTGACTTCGGCGATCTTGTTCTGTTTGGTACAACACGGCGATCCGACAAAGAACTGAAACGTTCGTTGTGTGTGTGGTGCAGTGCTTTGAAGTAGGCACCCAACACGGAGCTGAAATTGGCTGTTGTGGGGTTGAGGTTAAACGGGTTCAGTCCCGTCGTTGTCAGCTGATCCAGTCAAACTGGTCCAGAAGGACGCGGCGAGTGTTTTTAAAAGTAAATCTCCCTTTGTTCCGTTTCAAAATATGGAAGATTCCCGACGCATACCGTGAGTAAAAAGCTGCGGACGTTTTCAAAAAAATACGTCGTTTTAATTGAACAATGAACTTTGAATTGTTGTCCTAAATCTGCCGTTTTTATGCTTCGTGTGGACTGCGTTTCACAGCGACATGTTACGCTCATCGTGCGGTGTGAATAACTTTGGTCAAGATTTCCTACCTGCCCAATGATTTATGAACTCAGACCATTTTCCTACGTAGTGAACATAGTGCTCTTTTTTTTATTTTGAGAAGAGGCGTTGTGCATTTATTACGGTACAATCACTTGAAAGTTCACAAATTGGGGAGGGCGAGCAAGCTTTCCGAACTTTGCCTCCTTGCCCCCCTGGCACTGCCCGTAGTTTCAAGTTTCAGTACACATACCTACTAGCAGGTACAAACTGCTCTAAAGCAGGTAATAGACTGGGAAGTCGGGACGGTGCGTACTCCGTGTTTCGCGCTTTTCTCAAGGTAACAGGGGAAGTGCTTTTGCAAGGTATGCGGAATATGCAACCGATTTCGTTATGCCCGTCGTTTGCGTCTCTCCAGCAAAACGAATACGATAATCAACAAAGCCGCAATCAAATGCCAAGATTTACGATAACACTACATATTCATTCAAACAATTTACGTAAGATGGTTCTAAAGCCGAGAAAAAAAATCTTTCGGCTAACGCAGAATTCGGACGTTCGAGGGCTTCTGCGGACAGCTATTACGTAATCACCTGGCTGTGCCAGGTTCTTTACGTAACAGCTGTGTCTGGTCGCGGACGTTCGATGCCCTCGGGGCACCCGGTGTGAATTTCGACGGCCTCTGGAGCGATATGACAAGAACGTAACTGGAAACGGTTGTCGCTACGCGAACGCTTGATTGCCTCCAGCCAAATAGCATTCCTTTCGGGGCAACATGGCTGCTGGAAGGGCTATCGGGATCACTCATCTGACATCTCCGAAACGTCAGCATTTGCACGCACAAGCGCAAAAAAAAAACTACAAAAAAATAAATAAAAACACACTAAGCAAGCTAAGAGGAAAACGAAAGAACCGCGTTATGAAAGCAAAAACCCCGCATTACTTTCTATCCCTAACACCTGCGACACCTGCTAAACACACACTATTTCACTTCGAGAAGTCTCACTGAAGCACCTGGGTCAGCACGAAACCATGATCACTTCGGCGAAAGGATTAGTCGAGGTAGGCGAGACAGGCGGTAGCGGACACTTCGGCGGCCATGAAAGAATGGCGGAGTTTTTGCTTGTCATGGGTATGAATCCAAACGGAAGTGCCCGTCTTGTAAACCTTTCGTAATGAATAATAACTCTCATCACATGGGTTGTTCTTTAACCGTAAATATATGCCACTGAAAAGGAAATTGCAGCATATAACAAAGGTTTAACAACAAAGATCTAAGCTGTCAATCAAACTCTTAGCCAATGAGAAGTATTGCTGCCGATTGGGATTCAACGTCACGGAATTCCAACTTCGTGGCGCGCGATTTAAAACGGGCGAAATAGACGCAAACTCAAATCAGTCTCACGCAATAAATATTGATGTAAAAAATGTTTTTTTTTTTTTTCACGCGGAAAAAATGTTTTTTGACATGCTTGTCCCAGATAGGCTGCTAAAAAAAAAAAAAAAAGAAACATTTTTTTTTGCAGTCACCCTTAAAGTATGACTGTGCGCCGTACACAGAATTATATAAATTGACTTCAAAAACGGAACTTGCCCTTCATTGCTATTCGCTAACGCTCTAGGAATCTCAGAAACGGTGCTCTGCAAACCAAAAGCGGTATACATATAATGTCCTAGGCTAATAGTTAAACAGATCAATGAGTGTCTATTTAAGCGTTTGGTGGCTAATTGATGGATGAACCTCCCGACAAATCGACTACTGCACTAATCGCGATGATTTGTTTTTCAAGGGTGAATCGGGGGGGGGGGGGGGGGGGGGGGGAGTACAGTTGTGAGTTTGGCATTTTGGGGAGATAGATTTAATGCTTGCTTTGCTACACAATGATGGAGTTTACGAGGTAGCACTAGTTTCATCCACAGTAAGACATTATATCATTCCCATGATTATAATCTAGAGTGATTATCAGGTATAAAATATTAAAAAAAAATATTTCGTTTCTAAAATGGTTTTCTGTTTCTCTGTGCGATACAACGTCAAGTTTTAAATAAGGCTGCACACTCCGACATTGATGACAGAGGAGAAAATAGTAAAACACAAAACAAATTTGTGTCTTTGACGCTCCTTATATATTATTCCTGAATATCAATTCAGCCGACAAATAGACTAATTAATTAATTAAAGTGTTCGGTATTAATCCAGATAAATGTGTAATCGACGCCCAACCCAGACATGACCCCTCTTAACCGAGTGTTTAATAGATCAAAAGTCACCACTTAACCAGCTAAAAAGGTTTATTTCGGTCGCAGCCCCGAAGTCCTCTTTATTATTTTTTAATTTATTTGTTATCTGAGTTACTTGATCTCACGAAACCTTCCGTTTTCTTCTTGTGCCCACCACGAGAAGGGAGTTGAAGCTCAATCGGCATTTCCCATTTCATTTATTCCGATTAAGAGCGGTCCAACGAACTATGTTTTTTTTTTCTACATTTCTAACTAAAGTCGAAGAACTCAATTAATCTTTAAATTATCCTGTCTTGCAGCCGTGACGCTCCATGATTAATTTTTGCCCCTCCCTGCAAGCATGAAGATTCAGCCTTTCTAATGGGGTTTATTAGAAAGGTATCTTATTTTTCAAGAGCTGCTTTTTATAATATTTATTGGTGTAATACTCGTGGGATGTGATAGACAGTGATAACTCTATGTGTGAAAAAACAAATCCTCAAAAATGAGGTTAATTGCAATGTGTAGCACTGTTGACGGCCGGAAACAGCACATTGATTGTTCGTGCCTTTTCGAAGTTGGCGCGCAAAGACGCCCGATGTACGTACGTTCGGACTTCGTACACTTCATCTTGATGAAGTTTATTAAGGACAAAGAACTCAATCCTTTCTTTAGTAGGATGCACCAATGAAACTCTTCACTTTCAATATTGGAATTGAAGTAGCTACATACCCAATAATATTGTCAAGAATGACGAAGTGATGACACAAAGAATAAGGAAACTGAAACGTTTAATTTGGCGAACTTGAGTCTAAACCAATATAAAAAGAGGCTAACGTCGGCGAAGGTCGACTGCGGCGTAACAGCAATGTCGAGCACTGGGGCGAGACTGACTTCGTCTTACCACGCCGATGCTCTTATGTAATCGCGTGGGCAATTGGAACAATCGGCGTAGATGGTTCGGTGCGTAGAAGATTCGCACCTCGAATAAAAAAAAAACCGCGACATTTACAGAAACAACCAAATGGTGCATTCGCGTGCAGGCATCGAACCTCGGCCCTTTGCGTGAGAACCGAGCAAGGTATTCATTCGTCCAC